AAAAAAAAAAAAAAAACTTGTGAAATGAAGTTGTCTGTGGTCGGGGGAGGAATTTACAGCTTTTTATATCAAGCAAAAAACGAATTTTGATAATCCGTTTTTTAATTTTATTTTTTTAAATTAAACACGGATTTCAAAATCCATGTTATGAAGTAAATTTATTGTTATTATTAAATTCGACCGACACTTTTCTCAACCGTTAATTTAAAAAAAAAAAACATATAAAATAAACACGGATTATCAAAATCTATTTTTCTAATAAATTTTTATTAGAAAAACGGAATATGAAAATCCGTTAGTTTTATGTTTGTCCACAGTTTTTTTTTTTTTTTTTTTTTTTTTTTTTTTTAATTAAAAAAAAAAAAAAGCTACCAACAGGACAGAGTATGGACAAACACTCTTTAACAGTAAGCATCTCTACAAGATGAAGGTGGCCGAGAAAGTGATTCTCCTGCTTGACGGTGGCGACGCCCTGTCAGCCGCCGTATCCAGCGGCCTGAACCCGAGCCCAAGCTCAAACTTCAAAATGCTGTAAGTAGTAACGAAACTTTACCCATCTTCTCTATCAGTAATGAAAGTTAATATCATGATTTTTTCGGGTTCGATTTCAGAAAAGAGTATTCCTCTCTTACAGGCGATTTGAGTTCTCTTGCGTTTTGGATTGCCTTTAGATGTTTACGGAATCAAATATTAGAAGGCATCCGGAGAGATCATTCATTCTGTCAATCCCAGTGGTGATTATGAGGTAATTATCACTTCAATAGCTGTTTTTCCCCTATAGCTCGATGGGGGCGTGTTTAGAAGCTAACCCTAATTGTAATTTGCGAACTTAATTCGTTTTATTAGGTGATTTATGTGGCTTGTGGTGGTTGATTTCTTTATTGGAATTGTTTGATATTCAAATAAATTTGGTAACTTGTAGTGATTTATCATGAATTGATTGAAGATTTTTAATATGCAGAGGGTTCACTCCCTAATCTCAGCTGTTCGATTTGCTCCATGACGTGGGGCTTGATGATTTCATTAGCTTTGATATTCTTCCAAGTTATTTATTTATTAGATACTGGTGGAAATGTGTAACTGCGTTTGTTTTTGGCTCCTGAGCAGATTGAAGCTTAAGATATCTTGTACATTCCTCAGGTGTCTATTGTGCTCTTGCAAAGTTACGAGCCACCAATCTTAGCTTGTGCTTTGAATGAGGTATTGCTGAAATTGGCTGGAGATGATTTGTCATGTAGGCCAACACTCATAGTCCCTTGTGTTGTGCCAGAATCTAAGCTCAAACAAGAAAACAAATATTCCTTGGGAAGTGATAATGCTTCAGTTTATGGCATTGAATTAGGTCCAAAAAGTGATTTAACTGAGGCTTTGAGCTCCAAATTGCAAACCATTTTTGCAGGTTTATCGTGAAGATTTGGCCACACTGCTTCATTTGTTAACTGCCATGAAGCTTCCTGCACTTGTGCTGATTGGTCAAAGCTGTCAGCGTGTGGCAAGTAAAAACTCCAAAGATGAGCTGGAGGTATAATGATTCTTTTTCAGCCTTTATTGAGCATTTTGAATTTTTGGGATTGCTGGCTTTAAGGACAGTGTTGTGTCATGGCGACGGTGGCCGGAGAAGAGGATGAAGCAAACGGAGAAGAAGGAAAGAAGGGTTTTTGATATGAAAGAGAATGGGAATTAAATTAGGGTTGTTTGGTTTCAGATTTCTTATTTTAATTATGCTAGTATTTTGGTTTTATTGGGCCAAGTGTTTTGGGCTCAATTTATGTTTAGAGTTTCATTTAATTTCAAAGGCAGTTGGGTAAGTATTGGGAAGCCCAAATGGGAACATGTATTTAAAGAGAACACCATGTGATGAAAGGTATCAAATCAGTTACAATTATTCTCTAATTCTCTCTCTCTCTCCTCACGTCACTTTCTCCCTTATCTCTCTCTTCAATCTCTTCTTCCCCAAGTCTAATTACAGCAAATCTCCATTAATCTCATACAGAAAAATACGAGCTTAAAATACAATACAATCAAGTAAACTACAACAAAACACAACAATTGGTATCAGAGCTCGTCGATCCTCTCGATGGCTGAGAACATGCGCTTCAAAGACCTGCAGGAGCAACAAAAGAAGTTGGATCAGTATGTCCACACAGAAGCACTAAAACGGGAATCCAGTGAGTTGAAATTACAGGAGCAAATGGCTGGGCTCAACTCGGAGTTGCAGAGCAAAATGATGGGTCTATCTTCTGAGCTGAAAGACAAGATGGGCAGCTTAGATGGGAAGTATGACAATTTGGCAAATGTGTTGGCATCTATTCAACTGCAGTTGATGAATTTGAACAAAGAAAAATCAACAGAAGAGGAGGAATCTATTCTGGGTCCCCCTTTTCAGCACACATCCAAGCAAGGGTCATACACTAAACATCAACAAACCTTTAAACCATTGCAATTAGACCAACCTGCCCATTTCATTAATCCCATGCCCAAATTGGATTTTCCCAGATTTGATGGTACTAATCCTAGGAATTGGATCCTCAAGTGCAATGGCTATTTCAAGATTATTCCAAATATTCCTGATTCACAGAAAATTATCATGGCATCCATGCACTTTGATGGGAGGGCAGCTCACTGGTACCAGAACTTCTGTACCAAATATGAAGGCTGCAATTGGTCACAGTTCCTAGAAATTGTGTCCTCTAGGTTTGAGGAGATTAAGGAAACAAATATTATAGGGGAGTTTAACAAACTGAAACATTCTGGTTCCTATGAGGATTATGTGGAAAAGTTTGAGGAACTTAAATCTTGCATGTTGTTATTCAACACAGGGGAATTCACAGAGGAATATTTCATTGCTAGTTTCCTCAGTGGGCTAAGTGAGGAATCCCAAGCTTTCATCAACATGTTTGATCCAAAATCTCTGCAGCAAACTATTGATTTGGGAAGGAAACAACTGTGTACTATGGAGGCCATTACTAAGAGGGTCAAAAACCAATACAAACCTCAGGGCACACATGCAAATTACTACAGGAAACCTGAAGGAAATTCGAACTATAGAGGCCAGATTCCTAACACACAGTTCAAACCACCCATCAAAATGCTTACAGCCCATGAAATGGCTGCAAGAAGAGAAAAGGGTTTATGCTACAATTGTGATGAACCCTATGTGATTGGGCACAGATGCAAAGCAAGGATCACTTACATGATTATGTCCGAGGAAGAAGAATTATCTTATTTGGGACATGAAGGAGAAAACATTGAACAAGAAATTCCAGCTGAAATTGAAGAAATTCAAATGTCTTTGAATGCTTTAGCAGGGGAACAGAGCCTAACTACCATGAGGCTTTTTGGGGAGTGTGATGGACAGAAGTTACATATTTTAATTGATTCTGGTAGTACCCTCAGTTTTATTCAAGAAAGTACTGCCAAGAAATTGGGGTGCACCCTACAGAAAGCCAAACCTATTATGATCAGGGTGGCAAATGGACACAAGATGGTGAGTACACAGAAGGCAGAAAACTTTCAATGGAAAATGCAGGGTCATAAATTTGCTTATCCACTAAGGTTACTACAGAATGAGGGTTGTGATCTTATACTTGGGGGTGACTGGTTGAAATCATGTACTCCCATAGAGCTTGACTATGACAAAATGACATTCACTGTCACCTTGAAAGGCAAGAGGATTAAACTACAAGCTCTAACTTCTAACACAGACTGCAAATTTATTTCTGGGGATGCCTTATATAAGCTGGTTCATCAAGAATGCAATCAAGTAGAGGAGCTTTACCTGCTGACTACTGAAGTAGAGGGGCCCAAACTTAACCCTCTACTTGATGGCTTACTGCAAAGGTACAAGGTAGTTTTCCAGGAACCTAAAGGACTGCCATCTGAGAGGAATGTGGAGCACCAAATCATCCTAAAAGAAGGGAGTGTTCCTAAACACCAATACCCCTACAGGGCATCACATTCTCAAAAGGATGAGATTGAGAAGATAGTGCAGGAAATGCTGGAATTGGGCATCATTCAAAATAGCCACAGCCCATTTGCATCACCTGTGATTTTGGTCAAAAAGAAAGATAACACATGGAGGATGTGTGTTGACTACAGGTATCTCAATCAACTCACTATCAAACATGATTACCCCATTCCAGTCATTGATGAACTGTTGGATGAACTCCATGGGGCAAGCTACTTTTCCAAAATAGACCTCAGGTCAGGATATTTCCAAATCCTGATGAAGCCCTCTCACAGACATTACACAGCTTTTTCTACCCACAATGGCCATTATGAATACTTGGTTATGCCTTTTGGCTTGTGCAATGCACCAGCAACCTTTCAGTCACTGATGAACCAAATATTCAGACCCTATCTGAGGAAGTTTGTTTTGGTTTTCTTTGATGACATTTTGGTCTACAGTGCAAGTTGGGAAGAACACATGACCCACTTAGAAGCTGTGTTAAAGACACTAAGAGACAATCAGTTGTATGCTAAGATGTCTAAATGTCAGTTTGGGCAGACAGAAGTAGAGTACTTGGGTCATATCATATCACACCAAGGTGTGGCTACTGACCCAGCAAAGGTGGCTAGCATGCTCAACTGGCCTACACCCACCAGTTTCAAACAACTAAGGGGTTTCTTGGGGCTCACTGGATATTACAGAAGGTTTATTAAAGGTTATGGTGTTATAAGTAAACCAATGACTAATTTACTGAGGAATGACAAATTCAGTTGGAATGAGGAAGCTGAAGGAGCATTCAAAGCATTAAAAAAGGCTATGATCACAGCACCAGTGCTAGCAATGCCTGATTTCTCCAAGCCACTAATCTTGGAGACAGATGCTAGTGGAAAAGGGATTGGGGCTGTACTTATGCAGGAAGGGAGGCCCATTGCTTTTATGAGCAAGGGATTATGTCCTAAGAACCAAGCACTATCAATATATGAGAGGGAATTCTTAGCTGTTCTTATGGCAGTGCAAAAGTGGAGGAGTTACTTGTTGGGTCATAAATTCATTATCAAAACTGATCAACAAGCATTAAGGTACCTACTGGACCAAAAAGCAATGAATCCTATGCAACAGAAATGGCTTACCAAACTGTTGGGGCTGGACTATGAAATCCACTATAAAAAGGGAGTGGATAACAAGGTAGCTGATGCACTTTCCAGAAGAGAACAAGGAGAGGGAAATTGTTTGGCCATTACCACCATCACTCCCCAGTGGGTTTGCAAGGTGATAGACAGCTATGTTGGAGATCCGTATTGCCAAAAGATCCTTCAAGCTCATGCAATGAAGGACCCTGCCTATTCTGATTTTCAGGTCACCAAAGGATTGATAAGGTTCAAAGGCAGACTTATGGTGGGCTCAGATACTGTTTTGAGGCAGACCATACTAGAAACCCTACATGGTTCTTCTTATGGAGGTCACTCAGGGGTAAATGGTACCTATATGAGGATGAAGAGTAGTTTTTTTTGGCCACTTATGAAAAAAGATGTTATTGCCTGGGTGAGTGCATGTGAAGTGTGCAAGAAAAGTAAACCTGAGAATGGACCTTATCCAGGGTTGTTACAACCCCTACCTATACCTGAACAAGCTTGGACACATGTCTCCATGGATTTCATAGAAGGACTGCCCAAGTCTGCTGGGAAAAATGTTATCCTTGTAGTGGTGGACAGGTTTACAAAGTACTCTCACTTCATTCCTCTGTCTCACCCCTACACAGCACAAGATGTGGCCAAGGTATTCCTAGACAATATTTATAAGTTACATGGACTGCCATTCAGTATTTTGTCTGACAGGGATAAGATTTTCACAAGTTCATTTTGGAAGGCATTGTTCAAAGGTTTGGGGGTCAATCTTAATTTATCTTCTGCTTATCACCCTCAGTCTGATGGACAGACTGAGAGGGTGAACCAGTGTCTGGAAACTTATTTGAGGTGCATGACACATGAGCATCCTAAGAAATGGGGACAGTGGCTCAGTTTGGCTGAGTATTGGTACAATACTAATTTTCACACAAGTCTGAAACTAACTCCTTTCGAGGCACTATATGGTTACCCACCCCCAAATTTTCTCATGGGGCCATTCCTAGATGTCAATCATGCAGATGCACATGAAGTCCTCAAGCAAAGGCAGGCAATCACACAACAATTAAAGGAGAACTTGAAACAGGCACAACACAGGATGAAAATTTTTGCAGATCAACACAGAAAAGAGAGAACCTTAGCTGTGGGTGATGAAGTGTACCTCAAACTACAACCTTTCAGACAGAATTCTATTTCCCTCAGAAAAAACCTCAAGTTATCAGCAAGATATTACGGTCCTTACAAAATTTTGGAAAAAATAGGAACTGTGGCATATAAGTTGGATCTGCCGGAGGATTCGAAGATCCACCCCGTTTTTCATGTTTCACTTTTGAAAAAGAAAATTGGGTTTGGGAAATTACATTCCACAGAACTACCGCAAACTGATGCTGACGGGAACTTCAAGATTCAACCTTTGCAGATCATGGACCACCGCATCATTCGCCGCGCCGGTCGAGATACTCCTCAGATTCTTGTGCAGTGGACTAACGCCGATCTCGCCAAGCCTACCTGGGAAGATGAGGGCTTTATTCGTCGAAAGTTCCCTCTTTTCGGCCCTTGGGGACAAGAGCCGCGCTCGGCGGGGGGTATTG